CATACCTGTGAATATTATATTACAGTGATGTGACACACTGGAGCTTTAAGTCTTAAATGTGGCCAGAACAGATAATGAAAGACCCCCTCTCGATCTCCCCCGGACTGTTTGAGAGTAAATCAGCATCAGCACCTTCAACATATTTCCAATGCAGCTGTTCATGTGGAAATTAAACCATTGATATTAATACAATACAACTACACAGATAAATACATTTTAATATTCCAATCATAAAAAAAGTTTACAGGAGTAAAGCACACAAACACGCGTTCTGAAATGTGTTTAATACTTGGTGGATAAGTGTTTGTTTGTTAGCTTCAAGATGCTTCTGGTACAAGGAAGCTAACCTCTCAGTGTTTGTTTTAAGAATTTCCCGGTACATTTTTTTTACAGAGTTCACGTTTTATCTCGACTGACCACACACACTTCTCCCAATAACCTGCAGGCTTCTCCCAACGCTGTGTGGCGAACTTAAAACCGGCTTCCTTTGCATCCGTAATGAAGTTGTGCACGGAGACCTGGACCTGCTGCTTCCAGGTCTCCCTGCAGGTCTTCTGACCATCCTTCTTCTGCAGGAGCTCCTTTGCTGAAGGTGGAGTGATGTTCCTTTCTCAGTGGTTGCTGAACAATGTTGTTGTAAAAGTCCTTTACCCATAATGCGATATACAGCACTGGTTCCCAACCTTTTCCATCACTGAGTAACCTGACTACTGACACATGTTATTGATATTTCATATTATATTCAAACAGTGAACTGCAGGAAGAGATTTGGATGAATTCTGAGCATTTTATTTCCTGTTTAAGGAACTTTTTATACAATTCTCAGTCTGTATTATGTATTTTTTATCATTTTTACCAATCCTACAGGCGTAATAGGATTATTTTTGGACAAATTCAGTGTTTTCCTCAGTGACCCAAATGCTGAGATAAAGTCCTACTGTGTATATTTTTGTGTTTTAACCCCAAATGTTAGATAGCAGTGTTGTAAACTGAGGGCTGTGATGTTGGATGCAAATGTAGATCTCACTGTTGTGGTTGCATAAAAAAGGAAGTAAAAGTGCAGATTGTAAACATATGTGCTCTTTGCATTGTTCCTAAAATTAGATTTTTTAAAAACGCAATGTATCGCCATGCTTACAGTCTCGCAATATATCGCAATATATCAAACTGTTACTCCTGTATGGTGATATTTATCGTATTGACAAATTCTAGACAACCCTGCTGTCGAAAGACCTTTGCAGTAGTCGACCCTGCTATAAATAAATAGTGGATGAAGTCCACTGAAAGGTAGCTGGATTTGTAAGATGATAACAAGCTGCTCTTGTTACTGCTTTCATGTGACTGTTCAGACTAATGACTAGTGTATAATGTCAAGGGGGGGCGCCACAGGTCATACAGGAGTCTAATGTAATAATTGGGAAGTTTGATTTAGGTTAATTGTTAAGAGAAGGATACTTAATAGAAAGTGACACCATGTGACATAGAAAATATACAGCCGAAATGTACAAAATGATACAAAAATGAAATGATGCGTAACTGAGTGAGGGCAGTTTGAGGAAGATGCTTCTCATTTTGGGGCTTCCTGCTCAGAGATGACTGCAGTTTTTGTTGTGGTTAAATAAAAACTGCATGTTGTTGGACAGAACTCAGTGTCGGTATTGTTGGCGGAGGAGTTCCTGTGATAAACATTTTTCCCTCCATAAGCTGCCATGAACAGTGATGAGTGTAAAAGTCTGTCTGTTGGCTCTGCAGAAACATTCCCAGCCCCAGCTGTTCCCGGGAGACATCGTGGAGTATCCCAGGAACAAATACTTCTCTCATTTCGCGGTGTACTACGGAGAGAGGGAGGGTGTACCCTACGTTGCTCACCTGACATGCCGAGGTTGGTTTACCTGCTGTACGTCCTCTGTGTTAGAGCCCCAAGAGTCAAAATATTAAGAAAGTTTCTCTTTTTTTTCTCCTCACATTGGCAGAAGTAGGCTTCCATACAATTGTGATCTCAATGCAGAGATCAATTAATTTACGATTTAATTGTTTTAAGAAAAATGAGAACTCAATGATAATATTCAGTTCTCATCTCAACCACTGAGAGCTGTATTTATCTTCTGATCCACTGTCTTTATCAGTACATCCTTATCAATAATGCGATATACTCATTATTTTTTATTATATATGTGTGTGTGTGTGTGTGTGTGTGTGTGTGTGTGCATTTTAGATTCTGCAAAATAAATATATAAACAAAAAAATTTTAGAAAAAGAAAATTTTATTTTTTTACAGTTTTTATACAATAGAAGGAGGCTCATTATCACAATTGATTATTGATCCAAGTCCAAGATCCAAATATGCACCTATAAAGCAGAAAATCTTCTTCTAAAGTCATTTTTGTTTCTAATTCTGAAGGTGAATAAAATCCTTAATAAAATCAATTATTTACAATAAAAACTAAAATCTATTTCTTAATATCTTCTAATAAATCAAGTTTATTTCTCCAGTTTAGGCTGGCGAAGTCATGACCTGCTGCACTCTGCTGCCGATTGGCTAGTACTCACTCAATAAAAATCAAAAGTGAGAGTAAAAGCGTTAGTAGTTTGGCGACGTATGACTCAACGTTTTGGGGGGAACTGCTATGATTGGTGAAACTACGATGAGTGGTCACATTCACAGGAATCGGTTGAAGTTTGTGTTAACTGCTACGATCGAAACTGACTTTTCCGGCACTTTCTATCATAAAGCAGAATTTTAAAATGTGTTTGTCAGATTCAGACTCCAAGCTGCCGCTCTTTGGCCGAGCTCTGAGGTCAGAGATCAAACTGGATCCCCTGGAGCTGCTGGGGAAAAAGTACAAGGTACTTTAATACTTATATTAAATATCATGGTTGTACTGGAAAACTCTAATGACTTTAATGAATGTCCTTGTTGCAGGTCAACAACATGTTGGACGACGCGTACCCAGCCAGAGACTTCCACGGCGTGGTGAAGCCGGCGATCGATGACTTGATGGGACGAGAGGTGACGTTCGATATCTTGTTTCATAACAGCGAGCACCAGGCGACGCTCCTCAGATACGGAGTCAAGAAATCCTCTCAGGTCAGTGGACGGAGATATTAGTTATTCATCCAATCTCCAACTAATGTTTGAGTTTAGCTGTAACATATCTTTGTGTGTGTGTGTGTGTCTGCGTATGTGTTACAGATAGAGAAGATTTATGAACACATCATGCCGGCCTGGAAGAAACTGTTTGAGAAGAAAAAACTGTGAAAACTTCTACATCTCAACCACTGGAGGGCGATATATTGTTTCTACTAATCCATCGTTAGGGATTAAAGGTTCCATGGTATAGTTATAATTTCTAAAAGGTTGGAATATTTCCAGAAGAAGGAAATAAAATGTTGTATTTTATATTTGGATTGATGACACTTTTTATTCTGGAAATGGGAACAAAAAGATTTTATTTTATATTCTTTTCGCATGTATGCTGCATCTTTAATTAAAATGTTTTTAGCCAAACCTTTTCACTTTTCATGTATTATTTTTGAATCATTTTATAAATAATTTTCTTATTCTTTTATCATTATTTGTTTTGTCGTCTCTAACAGCAGTAACATTAAACTGAATTTCCTGCGTTATTATCCTTCGTATCCTTTGTATTTTCTTCTAATTAAACTATCACTACCTCTGTTGTAGGGAATTCAAGGATGAGGAGGTGTTGTTATACCCACTCTGACAAACATTAGGAATTATTAAGTATTAAAACTAACTGAAATGTTCTATGAGCTCTGCAGGAAGATCATCATGGATATAAAACAATGAATTTCTGTCTGCACTCATCTCAGAACACCTTTCTAACACTATTTAATCTGACAGCTTTTCATTTATTCCTTCAACATCTGACTTCCTGAGCAGCACCTTATCTACACCTCCGGCTGCTCTTTAAAGGAGCTGTTGGTGAACTCTCTCACTCCGTATGTAGTAGTGAGACTGTTTCATACTCTGTAGTATCTTAAAAATCCTCATTTTAAATCCTTAATCTTACTATTATTACTTTGTGTAGCGTCCTTATTAAAGCTTTACTGTTCAGAACAAGAAACGTACACTAAAAAGATAATGAGCCAGAAACACATGGACGACGACAACAACAACAACAACAACAACAACAACAACAACATAAGATCAGAGTTAATGTTAAACAAGGATAAATAAAGTTCAGCTCAGTTAAAGTAAATAAAGAATAGGGTAAATAAGGACTCATCAGGTGGACTCAATCAGGTTAATGAGGAGGGACAAACAGCCAATCAGTGAGGAGGAAACACCGGAAGTGAATGTAAAACTTACATGATGACGCATCCGAAACCTGCTGAAGACGAGAGGAAAACAAGATGCCTTATAAGGTCAGTCACACAAACAAACAAAC